AAATACATACATTTCCAACTGGGGTGAACCATCAGAATTCTGTTACCAACATGGATACTTTGCTGGACTCTGAAAAAATGAAGGAATACAACACTTTAAAAATGTCTGAGTGCCGGTCTACAGAGGTCCCAGGGCTACATCCGTGTTTGACCCATTGATGCCATTTTATTTTCAAAGCAACGCAGTCTCTACACTCAGGTTCATTGCTGGTTCCTGCAGCGCTGACCCTGATCTCTGGTGAAATCTCACTCTTGCAGTAGAGACATGTCAAACGCCTTATGTTTGCAGTTGGCCTTCTCATTTGGAGGCTGAAAGCACAGCCTGGGGGCCAGGATGAGCACGGGGTTACTCTCTGTCTCTGTCTCTGTCTCTGTCTCTCTCTCCACACACACACACACACACATCTTTCCTAGGAAATGTGTGGTACCATGGATTGCCCTCTGGATGGGTTTCACCTTCTGTTCCATTGCTCTTTACTATTGGAAACATGTCCTGAATTCTGCATGTAAGTGACTGTCATTTTTCAATTATCAGTTTTGGTATAAATTTTAGTATGTTCGTTTAAACTTTCTAGAGTTGTCACGGACATTTTCCATAGACAGTAGAGAGTTCTAGTGTGGCACCAGTCTACATCAGAAATGTTCTGTTGATCTTATCAGTAAAGCTATTAACTACCTCAATAAACGTGTCAAAGCTTGGAAACGAGGGGCCCAGGGTTTTTGTCCCATTCGTCATCTGTCTCTGTCACTGTGCTCGGCACCACTTGACAGTAAGAGTCAGCCTCGTCCTCAGGCTGCAGCCCAGAGATGAGCAGGAGCCCTGCGTTGGCCGAGGCATCCTTGGACCCAGAGAAGCATCTGGGGACCCTGGTGCTTATCAGAGTCTAACTTGAACCTCAGGAGGTACCTCAGGGGAGGGCTCCCTGGCTTCTGCTGCTACCAGTATATGCCTTTACCACCTACACTGATGTCACTCTCAGGGTGCAGGTGAGTCTGGCTGATGCTCCAGGAGATGCAGAGAGGGAGGGCAGCTGAGTCAGCACAGGCTGGGAGAGGCACCCTGCAGACACAGACACATCAGATGAGGAGAAGGGACAGGAGGCAGCTACTCGGGGACCTGAGCCAGAAGGAATTCCTCAGGCTGGGATGGGTCCTGGTCTCTGAGGCCTGTCTTACCTGTGCAGAGAGAGGGGAGCATGAGGAGGGCAGGGGTCCAGGCCATGGTGCTCACAGCCGCTGCTCACGACACAGAGCTGGGGCTGGGCTGCCCCACTCCTCTCTTATGCCTCCCCGCTGGCGCCACAGAGGAGGGGCTGTCACGCAAATGTGTCCCCACCCACTGCCGCTCCCCCATGACACCTGACAGGGTCTGGGGCCCTTGGACCCAGGGAACCTGCCTGATGCACTAGTTTCCCCCATGAGTCGGGGCGGGGAGGAGGCAGCTTCCAGGACCACACACGGGCCACGTGCAGGGGACTCGGCCAGGCCCAGAGAGGACACAGCTGCCCCCTCCCCAAAGGAAGCAGAGGGCCCTGCCCTGGGCCTCCGGCAGAGGAGGGCTGCCCAGCTGGGCGCCCCTGTCCTGCCCGATCCACCAGAGGCGGCCGCACAGCGCCCCCTGCTGGTCCCAGGGCCAACCTCTCCTCCTCTCGCTCTGGTCCACAATCTCACGGTCACCTGTGTCCCTGACCCCTGCGTTTCCCACACGTGACTCCTCCCTACGGGGCACGAGGCAGGTGTGGTCCTGGTGTAGCCTCACTGATTCGGGTCCCTGCTCCGCGGGCGGCGGTCTAGCGGGAGGTACACGCGACATCCTGATCCAGGAGGGCGTGGGAACCGCTGCGGAGCTGAGGACCGGACTCAGGGAACAGGGAGCACAGCATATCTTCCCACGCGGGGGCTCAGAGGAGGCGGGCTGGCCCTGGTGCTGTGAGCAGGAGCTCCCGGGGACAAGGACGCTCACAGAGGAGGACACAGAAGGAGGGGACGCTGGTCCTTCCACAGCAAGTCAGGGAGGAGACTGCACACACCCTGGGGCGCAGGGCTGGGGATGGAGCAGGGCCTGGGTGCCCAGCAGGCACCCCCTGGGGCCGTCCTGCCACCTCCCCGTGTGCTGGGAGATCTTTAATCCCGGCGGTGCTGGTCCTCAGTGGGGCCAGATAGAGACCGAGCTCTGAGTAAAACTCTGGGACAGAACTTGGGACAGAGACCCAGCCAGGGGACATTCGGGGAGACTGGACAAACAGGACACAGAGGAAACAGGAAGGGGTGACATGGCACGTGGCCTGAGGAGAGACACAGGGCGGTGACCAGCTGACCCCAGGCCGTGGGACAGGAACGGGTGGTCCAGATGTCAGGTGGATGCCCGACTGACACAGGTGAGGGCAGCTGCAAGGGCAGGGGTTGCGACTGGGGGGTGGGTGTGTGTACATTTGTCACATAGAGACCCATGGTAGGAAAGCCTGGAAACATGTTATTAAAACTCAGGACAAGGGACTCATGTCCTCCGCTAGAGGAAGGACACAGGGGCTGTAAGTCACCACCCGATGGGGGACTTAGCTGCATCATTCATTCATCCAGCCAGCCAGCCATTCATTCTCTAGAGGATATTTAAGGACTGTCTCCCGTGTACCAGACACAGGGGGAGGATGGGGATCGAGGACAGGGGCCGGGTCCCTGGAGCGGGGGAGCCAGGCCAGCAGGGGTGAAGGTGATCCCAGAGGACACGCTAGGGTCTGAACCCCGGGTCCCCACAAAGACCCTGAGATGTCAGAGTGTCAAGGAAGCACAGGTCGGAGACTCCAAGATCTCCCAACGTTCATGACGCCTAGAGTACATCACCCCACAGGACAGGCCACATCCCCGAGTGTCCGGGGACATATGATGGGGTTGCTTTGAACGCGCAGATCGACTGGGCAGGGTTGATCGACACCTTCACAGTAAGAAGCCATCCAGTCCATGAACACGGGTCTCCTCTCCCTTATCTTCATCTGCTTTAATTTCTCTGCAAAAAGAAAAATTGCAAAAGGGCCCCAGACCCTGTCAGGGGTCATGGGGAGCGGCAGTGGGTGGGGACACATTTGCGTGACAGCCCCTCCTCTGCGGCGCCAGCGGGGAGGCATAAGAGAGGAGTGGGGCAGCCCAGCCCCAGCTCTGTGTCGTGAGCAGCGGCTGTGAGCACCATGGCCTGGACCCCTGCCCTCCTCATGCTCCTCTCTCTCTGCACAGGTAAGACAGGCCTCAGAGACCAGGGCCCATCCCAGCCTGAGGAATTCCTTCTGGCTCAATCTGTAAGCCTCTCACCTACTCGGCTAATCCTAGTCCTAAGTACTTTATTCTTTTTGATGCCCTCATGAATGGAATTTTAAAAAATATCCTTTTGCTGCTTCATTTTTAGTAACTAGAAAACCAAGAAATTTTTGTAGGTAATTACTCCTCGTAACACTGTGGAAGATCCTAGTTAGAGCCCGGTATGGGGTTGTGATAAGAGTGGTTTCTCCTGTTTGTAAAGCAGGTAACAAGCGATGGAGCAGGTGGGAATATTGAGGTGGGGTCTGCCGTCCGTGGACAGTAAGATGAGCCACACAAAAGGGCGGCCCTGGACGTGTGACCATCTAAGGAACTGAAATGGCCCAGCGCTGCCTCCACTAATTATGGGGGAAAGGAAAAGCATAAAACATTTTTTCTTTTCAGTTTGAGAAAAATGTCATTAATGTATCAAGAACTTATGTAGTGATTTGTGAAGCAAATATGGTGAAAGCGCCCACTATTCTCCGATTGGGGCCTGATGATGCTAATTTGTGGAAACGCCACAAATCAGGAGCAGCCAATGTGACTTTTAGCTCCATTATTATTCAGCACCATTCAGCAAGTACTAGACACCGCAATTAAACAGGAAGAATCAATGGTTGGATCATTGAGGGGCATGGAGAGGTAGTTGTTCCAAAAGACCCAAATGTATGATGCACCTTAGATGCTCTGGTGTCAGTGCAAAAGTGTCCGAAGAAATCTCCCCTGTGAGCAAAGCACAGGCGTTCATCCTGAGGGCTGATGAGAGGGGCGTCATAGCCCTAGAAACTCCTGGGAATTGACAGATGACCCCAATGATGGAGGCTCAGGGTTCCCGAGTCAGAGTTCAGGTCTGAGATGACCTCCACCGACCCCCACCTCAGCCCCTGAGCTTCAGGGCAAAGAATGCTGCATCCCCAGCGATGGGCACATGGCCTTTCTGTTTCCTTTGAGACCCCTCCTAGGAATGGGCTGCTGAAGGGACTTTGAGGACAGAGGGGAAAGAGGAGCCTCCACACCCTGGCAGGCCCCAGGGATGAACGTGGACCCAGGGCGGCAGCAGAAGCAGCAACAGAAACTCCAACCAGACCCTAAGCAGGAAGCTGCTGGGTGGCCCCACCTCCTGCAGATGAGAAAAGAGTCCTGGTCTCGGTTACTGCTCGCCTGGAGCTCTGGGTGAGCCTGAGAGGCTGTCACAGGAAAGGCAGGAGAAGCAGCCTGGTATCAGCTCAGCCCAGTGATGGCTAAGGAGGCCAAATGCCAGACTTGGGACCAGGGAACTGATCAGGGACCGCTGTCTGTCCCCCACTAGCATCAGAGTTGAGGAGCTTGGGGCCCTATCCTGGGAGCTGCTGGTCCCAGGACACGTACTGGACAGTCTGATGTGTCATGATTCGGACACAGCTGGACTCTGGCCCCTGGTTCTGACCTAACCCATCATGGACTCTGTCCCCAGGGCACCTTACCCTGGCATCCAGGGATTCTGCTCAATTTGAGAAAAATTGGACAGTTTTGCTGCCTAGGAAAAGCCTGGGCGGCGGAGGGGGCGGGGTACAGAATTAAGATGTAAACAGATTTTCTGGACCAAGTTCCCTGGTGTGGGTCTCAGACCCCAGTTTTAGGCCAAACAAACAACGGAAGCAGCTGACTTGGTAGAGGATGGTTCTGCCCCGGGAGCCCCAGTGCTGGGGGGACAGCAGGTTTTTGTCTCACTTCCCCCCTGGCTTGCACACTGTGTGACCATCCAGGCTGTCATCATAAGACTGGCAGTAATAATCAGCCTCGTCCCCAGCCTGGAGCCCAGTGATGGTCAGGGAGCCCGAGTTGCCAGACTTGGAGCCAGAGAAGCGATCCAGGACCCCCGAGGGTCGCTTGCTATTGTCATAGATCAGGAGTCTGGGGGCCGCTCCTGGGACCTGTTGGTACCAGCTCACATAATTACTCCCGATGCTGCTGCTGCTTCCAGCGCAAGAGATGGTGACCCTCTGGCCCAGGGCCCCAGACATGGAGCGCGGCTGAGTCAGCACAGCCTGGGCCCAGGATCCTGCAAGTGGAAGAGACAGAGATGGTGATTCTGGGGTCCAGACACAAGAGCAGGAAGCAGGGCCCGTGGTCTTCCCGGGGTCCCTTCCCCTGTCCCCGCATCCAGTCACCTGTGCAGTGAGCGACCAGGGTGAGGAGCAGAGGGGACCAGGCCATGGTGGACATGGTCACGAGGTCCTGCCTTCTGTGTCCCCACAGCTGAAGCAGAGTGTCCCCAAGTCTCTCCTTCCCCTCTTCATACTCTGAGAGAGGGAGGGTCCATTCATGCAAATGACACCCCCCCCCACCAGCTCTCTGGTCCCTCCCTGGGCCCTGGGTCAGGTCCCCGTGCTGAGCGTGGCAAGGGGGTGGGCAGGGGCGGGGCTGGGTGGGGCCCAGGGGTGGGAGGTCACAGCAGGCAGCCCTGAGCTGAGACCACCAGGCAGTGCTGGGGAGCTGGTCCCCGCTCTCATCCCCCAAGACCCTCAGGAATGGCCCCCGAGCGCCCCCTGGTGTCCAAGCCCTGAAACACACGCCGTGTGCCCTGGTGACCAGAGCCCCTCAGGGTCAGCTCCTGCCCCCTGCTCTGTGCACTGTCCCCTCCTTAGGGCCATTCCAGGTGCCCCTTCAGTGTCCCCCGTGACCTCAGAGCCATCTGTGGGCTCCCCTCAGACCCCTCAGGGTGAGTCTGTCCACAGCACCCTTGGCTGCTCAGGGGTCAGGACTGAGGGGGCGTCTGCGACCCAAATTCCTCTTAGATCAGGATCAAGTGAGAGCAGTGCTGGCCCCGTGGAGGCCCGTCCCCTTCTGTGCAGGACAGCGGGTCCCCTCCTCTGTGTGATTTGTCCCTGGTGGCCAGAGCCCCCCTTCCTCTGTGTGTCCCCTCAGCCCTGAGGAGGAGGGAGCGCCTCTCTGTGGAGGGGGTGAGGGTGTGGGGAGAAGCCTGGGGGTGACCCTTAATTCCTAAACGCCTCATTCTTTATTGTGTGTGAAGCTCTCCACACAAGAGACCCACCGTCCCCCGTGTCGTGTCTTACGAAGTGACTCCCTCCTGGGAATCTCTTTTGCAGGCACACGTCACAGGCTGCAGTGAACAGGGCCTAGTGATGTTCTTGGCAGTTTTTATTGAGACTCTGAAGGGCTTTGAGCAGCATCTGTTCCCAGGGAGCCTGATACGTGGGGCTGTTAGGATCAACAGAGCCCCAATAGTGGGTTTGAAAAGACATAGTTAGGGGAGTGTTTGGTTGGAAAAGAACAGCCTGACTGAAGTTTGCCCAGCACTGCGTGTGTGTGTTACACAGATGGTGTGTGACTATGAGATTTTCAATTCACCAAAATGCGTTTAATGGATTAGTGAAAATGTAAGGTCATTACTTAAAATTAGTGCCGGATTTTTTTTTTTTTTTTTTTTTGCGATAACGCATGCCTCTCACTGCTGTGGTCTCTCCCGCCGTGGAGCACAGGCTCCGGACGCGCAGGCTCAGCGGCCATGGCTCACGGGCCCAGCCGCTCCGCGGCATGTGGGATCTTCCCGGACCGGGGCACGAACCCGTGTCCCCTGCATTGGCAGGCGGACTCTCAACCACTGCGCCACCAGGGAAGCCCTATTCATATTTTTCTAAATTGTTTGAATGGTTTTAGTTCGTTTGACTTCCCATGTAAATTTTACAGTCAGCTTGTCTATATCTATTTAAAAAATTCAGCCACTGGAATTTTTATTGTAATAACATTGAAGTTGTAGATCAGTTTGGGGAGAATTGGCATCTTTACTATTTTAACTATTCCAAACCATGCGCGTAGCCTGTCTCTCTATGTATTTAGATCTTCTCTGATTTATTTCATCAGAATTTTGTAGTTTTCAGCATAGAGTTCCTGTTCATATTTTGTTAGATTTATAGCAAGTATTTCATGTGTTTTGGAGCTATTGTAAATGGTAGTGGGGTTTTTTGTTTGTTTTTTTTTGCGGTACGCGGGCCTCTCACTGTTGTGGCCTCTCCCGTTGCGGAGCACAGGCTCCGGACGCGCAGGCTCAGCGGCCATGGCTCACGGGCCTAGCCGCTCTGCGGCATGTGGGATCTTCCCGGACTGGGGCACGAACCCGTGTCCCCTCAATCGGCAGGCGGACTCAACCACTGCACCACCAGGGAAGCCCTAGTGCATGAATTTAACTGAAGGAAAACCTATGTTCTATTTTCATTTTGCATTGACAAGTGTAACATTTCTGAAATACTATATTTATCTTTGTAAATACTGTATTTTTATCAAGGACATTTTAATAAAATGACACAACAGGTATCCTATGAAATTTTATTTATTATCAAGTGAAAAAGGAGTCTGAGTGAGGCAGGGCCAGAACCAACCTCTCTCTGCCACTCATAACATCTCCACTGGAAGATTTTTTTTTGGCTGCATTGGGTCTTCGTTGTTGGGTCTTCGTTGCTGCGCGTGGGCTTTCTCTAGTTGTGGCGAGCGGGGGCTACTCTTCATTGCGGTGCACAGGCTTCTCATTGCGGTGGCTTCTCTTGTTGTGGAGCATGGGCTCTAGGCACGTGGGCCTCAGTAGTTGTGGCCCGTGGGCTCAGTAGTTGTGGCTCACAGGCTCTAAAGCACAGGCTCAATACTTGTGGCGCACGGGCTTAGTTGCTCCATGGCATGTGGGATCTACCAAGAACAGGGCTCAAACCCGTGTCCCCTGCATTGGCAGGCAGATTCTCAACCACTGCACCACCAGGGAAGTCCCCACTTGGAGATTTTTATCTCTGAGCATGGAAGTTTTGTCTGTGAAAGCATGAGCCGGCTGAGGTATCAGAGCAATGGGTCAGTCTCAGATTTGAGGGGAGGAAAAGCATATGACAGGGTCAGATTTGTCATTCTCAGGAAATTCAGAAGTGACAACAGAAGGTCACCCTGAGTTAGACGTGGTCCAGGCAGAGCAGCAGTGACTGTCTCAGGGGGAGGGCACAGGGGAGCTTTTAGTCTCACTTCCCTGTGGGTCTGGAGCACAGTGTAAGTACCAGTGTTGCTGTGAACTGTAGCACAGTAATAGTCAGCCTCGTCCTCGGGCTGCAGCGCAGAGATGAGCAGGAGCCCTGAGTTGGCCGAAGCATCTTTGGATCCAGAGAAGCGGCTGGGGACCCCAGAGCCCTGGTACTTATCAGAGTCTGACTTGAACCTCAGGAGGTACCGGGGAGAGCTCCCTGGCTTCTGCTGGTACCAGAATATGTGGTAGCCGCCAACAATGTACCCACTGCTCAGGGTGCAGGTGAGTCTGGCTGATGCTCCAGGAGATGCAGAGAGGGAGGGAGGCTGAGTCAGCACAGGCTGGGAGAGGCACCCTGCAGACACAGACACATCAGATGAGGAGAAGGGACAGGAGGCAGCTACTCGGGGACCTGAGCCAGAAGGAATTCCTCAGGCTGGGATGGGCCCTGGTCTCTGAGGCCTGTCTTACCTGTGCAGAGAGAGAGGAACACGAGCAGGAGAGGAGTCCAGGCCATGGTGCTCACAGCTCCCTGGTCCCCACAGTGGGGCTGGGCTGCCCCAGGCCTCCTTTTCTCCCCCAGCCTCTGCCAGAGGAGGGGCTCCCATGCAAATGGGTGTCTACCCAGGGCCCACCCAGCCCCTCCCTGAGCCCTGGTGCTGGAGCTCAGCTCACAGCCCAGACTCAAGGGGATGGAGGGCAGCTTCCCCCTTGGGACCCCCTGGGAGGAAGCACCTGCTGAGACCACGCAGGTCCCTGCTCAGGGGCCTCTGCCAGCCAGAGAGGACACACTGCCGAGTCCCCACCAGGGAGCACAGGCCCCGCCCCCAGGCCCAGCTCCTGGAGCGAAAGGTCCTCCCTGAGCAGCCGTGCAGGGACCCCAGGGCAGTCCCACAGTGCCGCCAGCTGGTAACATGTGGAAAATGGAAAAAATAACACATAACTGGTAGGAAAGAAGAGATTAAAATGCATGCTTTTCAATGAAGATACAACATTGGCTCTATTTGAGGAAATACGTAAATGCACTCCTTTCCAAAGTAAAAAAATTTATTATTGAATTTCTGCTGAAAGATATGATATATACATTTTATTGGGAATAGCTAAGAAATCTTCAGCAATCATATGGTTCCAATAGATTTGCTTTGTGTATTTATTACAAAACATTGAAAAAGATGTAAAATTTCTTAGTTCTTTTGAGACAGCAGTTAAAACAGTTACACATGCACCACATAAATTGAACACCAAAGAGGAACACTGACAAACCACTATCAATGAATATTGATCCAAATGTTCCAAAAAAAATGTCAATGAAGAAATATTTATACTGGCTTAATAAATCGATACTGAATCTAAATGTCATTTTTTCAAATATACAACTTGTGTTTTATATTAAGACATTAAAAAATAAATTTAACACCAATAATAGCAAATCCACATAAAATAGAATCAAACAACACATTTGTAATATGCTAATACACACTCTTCACACATGCTTAAGTGCACACAGGTTACCCTATGGGGCCTCTGCCCCCCAAGCTTGTCTCACCCTCGGCACAGACGCTCCCAGGAGCCCCGCTCCTCCTTGGAGACACCTTCTGACTCCTCACCTTCTAACAGCCCCTCCTTGACCCAGACGTGGCAAAGACCCCACAGAGGACTCGGAGGAGGTGACCCGAATCTGAACCCTGTGGTCAGGGAGGCCACCAGGAGCTCCTGGGTGACCGGGCCTCACAGGAAGGAGGGTCCCACATCAGGGAGGACAGTTTGCCCAGCGCTCTGGAGCCCTGAGTGGTTTCCCCGCTGTCTGGCCCAGCCCCCTCTCTGGGACTCTGCACTGCGCCCCCTGCTGGCCACAGGCACCTCCTCCAGCCACTGGGATGTCCCAGCCCCCTTGCAGAGTGTCCCATTGTACAGCAGGCTTTGCTGATGTTACTCCCAGGAGAGTCAGGTGACGGGGCCTTTCCAGGTCCACCCTGGAGACAGGAATACCCTCACCCTGGGACTCTCGTCTCCATGGAAACTGACCATATTTCCAAAATGTGCATCTCTGTGAACTGTAGCCCCACAGCCCAGCCCTGCCTGCTGTGCAAACACAGCACGTGTGTATGAAAGGACAGTGACAGGGAGCAGCAGGCCACACACATGGTGACGTGTCCTGTGTGCAGGTTGGGGTGTGCTCAGGGGTGGGGACAAAGGAGCCTGAACAAAGCTGTAATGGGTCAGCAGGAATGTGAGGGAG